CTGTGAGCTAAACTGAGAGAGAGGAATGACTGTCCCCCTCCCCCACCTCACCATTTCACACAGGATGAAGCCGAGGCTCCAGGAGAGACCTGAAGATCACACAGCCAGCAAGTAGGACCAGTTAGAACTCACGCTTCAAACCTGGTCCTTCCAGCCTGAACTCCACCTCGTCACCACCTCTCTCACCACGACTCTCAACTGTTCATGCACCCAGCATTTACTAGGCTCGTGCTGTTTGTTGGGGGGCTGCGTGGACTTGCACGTAAGCCACGTGGGCCCCTCCCCCGGCCGGGCCAGCTCTGTGCCTCATGGGCCCTCAGTCTGTTTCCCTCCAGCAGGGCAGCTGGTACTATCTTCTCGAGTCCCGGGCTCACATTCCCAAGCCCGGCAGCTGAGAAACCCTCTGTTTCCCTGTGCCCCCTGTGTCACACCTTACATCACAAACTCCCAGGTCCTGCAGGCCTCCTCAGGAGTCTTCTTATACAGAAAGAAAAAGCCGAGAAAAGTAATACACACCTAAGAAATCTTATGAAGGGTCCAAAGATATTCTTTCCATTGGTTTTTAGAGAGAATGGAATAGAGGGAGAGAGACAGAGAGAGGGGGCTGTCATTGGTTGCCTACCTCCTGTGCCCTGACCAAGGCCAAACCTGCAACCGAGGTTCGTGCCCTTGACTGGAATCAAACCCGGGACCCTGCAGTCCTTGCGCGGACGCTCTATTCACCGGGCCAAACCGTCTAGGGCGAAGTATCCTAGTTCTCATTGGTCTAAAGTCCCCGACTGTCTTGTTGAAAAGTATTCAGGGGCCCTGAGAGCCTCCAGCATCACTGCTTCTCAATCTGCCCCTCCCTGTTCTCTAAGTACTCTTTCTTCTAAAGGGAAGAGTCCGCTGTGAAACGGTGGGCCCTTTTTGCCAGCAGCAGCCTCACACATCTGGTGTTTACCCCATCTCTTGACTGCATCATTCTCTCTTGTGCTGTTAATCTCGTGTTGTTTTATAAATGTAGTGTAGCCTCAGTGTACAGTGTTTATGAAGTCTGCACTCACACTCACTCACCCAGAGCAGCTTCCAGCCCTGCCAGCTCCATTCAGGGCAGGGGCCCTACACAGGTGAAACCTTTTTTATCTTTCATTTTACTGTACCTTTCTGTTTCGATATGTTTAAGTACACAAGTACCATTGTGCCAGTTGCCTACAGTATTCAGTACAGTAACATGCTGTATGCGCATGCAGCCCAGGGCAATAGGTTAGGCCTGGGGTCGGCAAACTGTTGCTCGAGAGCCACATGCGGCTCTTTGGCCCCTTGAGTGTGGCTCTTCCTAAGCCTTAGGAGTACCCAAATTAAGTTAATAACAAGGTACCTACCTATATAGTTTAAGTTTAAAAAATTTGGCCCTCAAAAGAAATTTCAATCGTTGTACTGTTGACATTTGGCTCTGTTGACTAATGAGTTTGCTGACCGCTGGGTTAGACCATAGAGCCCCAGTGTGTAGGAGGCTGTACCCTCTCGGTGTGCAAGTGCACTCTGATGTTTGCACAACAACCAGACCACCAACGCATTTCTCAGAACATATCCCCACCATGAAGCCACACCTGGCAGCAGTGGTAAGCTAAGTGCTGAGGCTCTTCTCGGGGCCAGGCACTGCCCAGGACACTGGTCTCCTCTCCATATTTCAATTGAGGGTCCTGAGCCTGCCCCCCACATTCAAGTCAGCAGCCTAATCCCCAGCCCCTGGGACCTGTGCTCCAAACTCGGGGGGCACTGTCTGCCTCTTACTGAGATCGCAGTCTTCCTGCCTCCCACACCTCCTGGGGCATCACCAAGTCCAGCTCCCCTGCCTGCACAGCATTCGTCTCCTGCTGGGGTCCAACCCCAG